CTCAAAGAGAGCCCCCTGTCTGGTTTTGTCTTGCTTTAGATTTCGTGACAGACAACACCAAATAAGACTCACAAACAGATATCAGACTGACACACACACACAGAGCGCTTGCTGAATGACAAAAGCTGACGCTGGTCTCACCGCACGTGCTTTTATAGCTTCCTGGTCATTACGTCACCCGCCGTGACGTCTCGCCCATCTATTGGTCTGATTACACACGAGGTTCAGAGCCCGTCACGCTGAAGGGCATTCCCCTAGCGTTTCCGATGCAGCTCGAGTTCCTGAAGAGAAAATATTATTTTAATTTACAATTTAAAAAAAAAAATTTCCACATTCACAGTAACAAATGACAGACAACACTGATGCAAGAAACAGTGCAGACAAAGCTACAAGATACTAACTTTAAACCAAATCAAAAGTATCTTCACACCAGGACAGTTACGTTACCAGCAAATATGTCAGCGACAAAAAAATATTTCTGATCGCCGATCATCATGTTGAACTTCATCCACTTTTATACATGAGCCAAGACGATACAGATCAATCTCTGTCCTCCATCCATGTTACTGAACGTTTGACGTGTTTCATCAGAAGCCAAAGAAACCTGAAGATAAAAGTTGCCATTAGAATATGACAGACACTGACGTTCCATTTACTTATTCAGACAATCACTAAAATTAAACTCATAGCCTCTCAAATTCGTTGATGCGGTATACAAAAACGGTTGTCTATTGATACGAAATCCATAATGTTTTGCTAGCATGGTCTGAAGATGATTTGGGTCAAATTAGGTCAAAACTGGACCAATGGTCTAGAAGTTCGAAAAAGTAGGTGTTCAACAGAAATCAAAATGGCGGACAGCAAGTTCAGCTGATTATGGTACAATTGGTGGTAACGCTTTAGATTACAACCCGCAAAGAACTATGTAAGTATACTGAATTTACGGTGTATGTTTCTGTAATTATAGTGTACCTATAAAGAACATACGTGTAGGTAAAAGGGAACGGCCTAAACAACAATCTTATGTTTGGGAACGATTTAGAAAGACGATATATACTTTTTATAAATTTATATTGGTATTTTATTATAGGCGTATAGGTATTTTTTAACCATGGTGTACAAATTCTATTATTAAAGGATGGACATGATGGAGATTACTGAACTACAAAACTGGACATCTAGTGAAAATGAGTTTCTGCTATGATTTATAATTCACGAGTCTACTTACCTTATGAAAGCGTATTCGTCGATTTCAGCAACTTCACACCAGCAACTTCTCAACACCACTATCACCAAATAACTTTGCATGATATACCATCAAGGTTCAATGCAGCTTAAAACAAGCTTACCTCTTTCCAGCTGTTCGCAGAAAAAAATACATGATACAATATTTGTATTTCAGTGGATGTATACTGTAGTGTTTTTATAGCAAAACATTTTTTTAAAGGGTTTAATTTGGCCATCAAACAATTAAATTAAAACTAGTGCAATATTTTTCTCTGTAATTACTGTGCAAATATACACTTGTTCTGTGTTTAAGTCCAACTTGTTCCTCCCTTGTTCCATGTAGTTACAGGGTAAATACAACATTTGCGGGCTGTAAATTAAAGTGGTGCTTTGTTCCCCCCTTGTTCC